GGAGGAGGGCACTTGTGGGGATGAGCACTGGGTGTTATATGGAAACCAATTTGACAATAAACTATTTGTAAAAAAAATAAAAATTAAAAAATTAAAAAAATAAAATAAAATTCTGTACCCTAAAAGCACAAACATGTTTTCTACAGGTTAATCTTTGGAAATGTGTTTGTAGGAAGTTGTTCTTATCCAAACAAAAGACTAATATCACATGTGGCTTAATGTCGATTTGTGTCTAAATGGCCCTGAAGAGCTTGGATTGCATGAGTGCTATTCATTGTGGGGAATCACTGCTCCAATTTCCTAGAGCCCAATCTCCCTCTTTGATTTGTTCTCCTGAAAAAACAAATTAGGCAAATAATCTGACCCTGGAGTCTTCGGATATTGCCACAGTTAATATGCATGTATTAAAATACCTTTCCTAACCCAAGAACTGTTTCTGTGGGCTTTGGCAATTATTAAGTCACCTCACCAGAAATGTTCACTTCTCCAAGTCTTCAAGGGCATAGACTAGAAATAGAGAAGAGAAATAGAATAGACTAGAAATAAAGCCCCAGGATAGGTCCACTTTTCTCTGTAATGATTCAGTGTATGATAATCCTCACAACATAGTACTTTTAAAAGAAGTTTAGGGTGGGGCGCCTGGGTGGCTTAGTCGGTTAAGCGTCCGACTTTCGCTTAGGTCATGATCTCGCGGTTCGTGGGTTCGAGCCCCGCGTCAGGCTCTGTGCTGACTGCCAGCTCAGAGCCTGGAGCCTGTTTCGGTCTGTGACTCCCTCTCTCTCTGACCCTCCCCTGTTCAAGCTGTCTCTCTCTCCTAGAAATAAATAAAAAAAAAAAATAAAATAAAATAAAAATAAAAGAAGTTTAGGGGTGCCCGGGTGGCTCAGTCAGTTAAGAATCTGACGTCAGCTCAGGTCATGATCTTACAGCTCATGAGTTCAAGCCCTGTGTCAGACTCTGTGCTGACAGCTCAGAGCTGGAGCCTGCTTCAGGTTCTGTGTCTCCTTCTCTCTCTGCCCCTCACCCCACCCTCAAAATAAACATTTTTAAATGTTATAAAAGAAGTTTCAGGATACTTTTTATTTGGAAATAATTTCCAAATTACAGAAAAGTTACAAGATTAAGAATAATCCAAATTGGTGGTTTGGGGGGGGGTGTCTGGGTGGCTGAGTTGGTTGAGCATCTGACTCTTAATCTCAGCTCAGATCTTAATCTCAGGGTTGTGAGTTCAAGCCCTGCCCTGGGCTCCATGCTGGGCTCCACGCTGGGTGTGGAGCCTACTTAAAAAAAAAATAAGAAGAAGAAGAAGAAGAGGAAGAGGAAGAAGAAGAAGAAGAATCAAAACAAGGGATGGGTTAAATAGGTGTACACTTTTAATGAGCACCAGGTGGAGTCTGTGTTGAGACACTATATTGTACACCTGAAACTAATACTATAATGTATGTTAAATAACTGGAATTTAAATTAAAACTTTAAAACAAAAGAAAAATCAAAACAACACTTTTATAACCCTCACCTAGACACACCTGTTATTGCTATTTTATCCCATTTGCTTCACCAATTGCTTTCTCTGCATTAAGGCTTATCAACCGCAATGTTGTTGACAGGCGGTGTCTTCATTCTTCAAAGAATGAAGAAAGATCATTCTTTGTTGTGAGGTCTTCTTTGTGCGTTGTAGGGTGTTTATTAGCAGCATCATGGACTCCACCAATCAGATGCTAGTAGTATCACCCCAAAATATATCCAGACATTGCAAATGTCCTTGGAGGGAAGCAAATCATCCCTAGTTGAGAACCACTGTTCTATATGAATATGGTGTTTCTTTGGTTTTCTGTTTGTTTTCTGGGGCTTTTTTTTACCCACTAGAATACATAATATTGTGATTCTTCACCCTTAAACACATCAATTTGTATTCCCTAACACTATGAATATTCTTTCTTTTTATTTATTTTGAGAGAGACAGAGACAATGTGAGTGGATGAGAGGAAGGTAGAGAGGGAGACAAAGAATCCCAAGCTCTACACTGTCAACATGGAGCCTGATGAGGGGCTTGAACTCATGAAACCACGAGATCATGACCTGAGCCAAAACCAAGAGTCAGAAGCATAACCAACTGAGCCACCCAGGTGCCCCACAAATACTCTTTTAATAAAATAAGAAGTTTCTACACTTTGAACTCCTTACCAGGTAGATTGTTTATCTCCGTTTCATTTAATTCTTTTTATGAGGTTTTTCTTATTCCTTTGTTTGGAGCATATTTATATGTCTCCTATTTTGTTTGGCTTTCTGTGTTTGTTTCTATGAATTAGGTGAAGCAGTATGTCTCCTGGTCTTTATTTATTTTTATATATTTTTTAAATTTTTTATTCACAAGTTAGTCAACACACAGTGTAGGACAATTAGTGCAGAAGTGGGCACAGGCCTGGCTGTCCCTGGGCGTTCATGCACAGTGTACCCTAGTAGGGCAGCTTGAGTTGAAGCAGCTGATGGTTGGTGGTCTTGAGGGGTTCTGCATCAGGACTACCTTAGCAGAATGGCTAGAGCTGAAGTAGATGCATGCTGAGGATTTTCTGGGAGCTTTGTACCTGTGCTGCCTTGGTGAGATGGCTAGAGTTGTAGTGGGTGCAGTTCAGGGGAGTCCCAGTGTCTCCCATACTGGGGCAGTGGTAGTGGGATGGCTGGAGTATGAGCAGGCATCACTGTGGGGGCCTCCTTGTGGAGACAGCTAGAGCCATTATAGGCATCGTTATAGGGGTATGTGGCTGGGGTTGGTGTGGGCTAGAGGTCTGGTATTCACTGAGGTGGCATGCCAGCTCAGGCACATGGACCCTACTCCTATCTGTGGTTTCAAGGTGGAGGGTGAACGTAAACAGTGGTATTCACAAGTACCTCTGAACCTGGAGAGAGTTCCAGCAGTTTCCCTGTCACTTGGCAAGTGCTGTAGGCTTACTTCATTTCTATTCTAGTTTCCTTTAAGCATAGCTTTTTTTTTTTTTTTTCCTGTGTCCCAGGGCAGGTAAATAAATATGCATGCAGGTGCCCCAATGCTATCCCTCCCCACTATAGTTTGTAGCATCAGGGGTGGGATTTCTATGTTTACCATGTCTCTGTCTCTCTTGCCAGTTACTATGTGGTCCTTCTGTCCTTTTTGTGCAGAAGCTATTCAGTCAACGCTCAGTTCTTCAGGAGGAATTGCTTTATAAGTAGGTGTAGTTTTCTGTGTCCCTGGGAGGATGTGAGTTCAGGGTCTTTCTATGTTACCATCTTGAACCCTCTGAAAACTACAAGATTTTTATGAAAGTAATTGAAGACACCTACAAATGGAAAGATATCGCATGTTCATGGATTGGAATAATTGTTTAATGTTTAGACTATGCAAAACCATCTATAGATTCAGTACAATCCTTATCAGAATTTTAATGATTTTTTTCACAGATACATAAAAATAATCCTAAAATGTATGTGGAACTACAAAGGTCTGCAACACCCAAAGCAACCTTGAGAATGAAGGAAAACACTGGAGGCATCACATTTCCAGATTGCAAACTAGACTATAAAGCTAATAATCACAACAGTATGGTATTGGCATGAAAATAGTAATCACAACAGTATGGTATTGGCCATAGACCAGCTGAACAGAAATGAGAGCCCCAAAATAAGCCCTTATATATATGGTCAACTAACATTTGACAGGGGAAACAAGTAGAGTGGGAAAAGGACAGTTTCTTCCATTAATAGTGTTCAGAAAACAGGATA